GTAGTGTTGTAGTACGCACTGTCTCTTGTACCACTGTCTGTATTCACATAGTGTGGTGTCTCTGTACCACCACGGTGTTCACTGTGTAGTGTTGTAGTAGGCCGTGTCTCCTGTCTGTATTCACGTAGTGTGGTGTCTCTGTACCACCACGGTGTTCACTGTGTAGTGTTGTAGTAGGCTGTGTCTCTTGTACCACTGTCTGTATTCACGTAGTGTGGTGTCTCTGTACCACCACGGTGTTCAGTGTGTAGTGTTGTAGTAGGCCGCATCTGTCTCCTGTCTGTATTCACGTAGTGTGGTGTCTCTGTACCACCACGGTGTTCCCTGTGTAGTGTTGTAGTACGCACTGTCTCTTGTACCACTGTCTGTATTCACGTAGTGTGGTGTCTCTGTACCACCACGGTGTTCAGTGTGTAGTGTTGTAGTAGGCCCTGTCTCCTGTCTGTATTCACGTAGTGTGGTGTCTCTGTACCACCACGGTGTTCACTGTGTAGTATTGTAGTAGGTGGTGCCTCTTGTACCACTGTCTGTATTCACCTAGTGTGGTGTCTCTGTACCACCACGGTGTTCACTGTGTAGTGTTGTAGTAGGCCGTGTCTCCTGTCTGTATTCACGTAGTGTGGTGTCTCTGTACCACCACGGTGTTCACTGTGTAGTGTTGTAGTAGGCTTTGCCTCTTGTACCACTGTCTGTATTCACCTAGTGTGGTGTCTCTGTACCACCACGGTGTTCACTGTGTAGTGTTGTAGTAGGCCGTGTCTCCTGTCTGTATTCACGTAGTGTGGTGTCTCTGTACCATCCACGGTGTTCACTGTGTAGTGTTGTAGTCGGCCGTGTCTCCTGTCTGTATTCACGTAGTGTGGTGTCTCTGTACCTCCACGGTGTTCACTGTGTAGTGTCGTAGTACGCTCTGCCTCTTGTACCAATGTCTGTATTCACGTAGTGTGGTGTCTCTGTACCACCACGGTGTTCACTTTGTAATGTTGTAGTAGGCTGTGTCTCCTGTCTGTATTCACGTAGTGTGGTGTCACTGTACCACCACGGTGTTCACTGTGTAGTGTTCTAGTAGGCTGTGTCTCCTGTATGTATTCACGTAGTGTGGTGTATCTGTACCACCACGGTGTTCACTGTGTAGTGTTGTAGTAGGCTGTGTCTCCTGAATCCCTGTCTGTATTCACGTAGTGTGGTGTATCTGAACCTCCACGGTGTTCACTGAGTTGTGTTGTAGTAGGCTGTGTCTCCTGTATCGCTGTCTGTATTCACGTAGTGTGGTGTCTCTGAACCTCCACGGTGTTCACTGTGTAGTGTTGTAGTACGCTCTGCCTCTTGTACCACTGTCTGTATTCACGTAACGTGGTGTCTCTGTAACATCACGGTGTTCACTGTGTAGTGTTGTAGTAGGCTGTGTCTCCTGTCTGTATTCACGTAGTGTGGTGTCTCTCTACCACCACGGTGTTCACTGTGTAGTATTGTAGTAGGCGGTGCCTCTTGTACCACTGTCTGTATTCACGTAGTGTGGTGTGTGTCTCTGTACCACCACGGTGTTCACTGTGTAGTGTTGTAGTAGGCTCGTGTCTCCTGTCTGTATTCACGTAGTGTGGTGTCTCTGTACCACCACGGTGTTCACTGTGTAGTGTTGTAGTAGGCCGTGCCTCTTGTACCACTGTCTGTATTCACGTAGTGTGGTGTCTCTGTACCACCACGGTGTTCACTGTGTAGTGTTGTAGTAGGCCGTGTCTCCTGTCTGTATTCACGTAGTGTGGTGTCTCTGTACCGCCACGGTGTTCACTGTGTAGTGTTGTAGTAGGCCGTGTCTCTTGTACCACTGTCTGTATTCACATAGTGTGGTGTCTCTGTACCGCCACGGTGTTCACTGTGTAGTGTTGTAGTAGGCCGTGTCTCTTGTACCACTGTCTGTATTCACGTAGTGTGGTGTCTCTGTACCACCACGGTGTTCACTGTGTAGTGTTGTAGTAGGCCGTGTCTCCTGTCTGTATTCACGTAGTATGGTGTCTCTGTACCTCCACGGTGTTCACTGTGTAGTGTTGTAGTAGGCCGTGTCTCCTGTCTGTATTCACGTAGTGTGGTTTATCTGTACCACCACGGTGTTCACTGTGTAGTGTTGTAGTAGGCCGTGCATCTTGTACCAATGTCTGTATTCACGTAGTGTGGTGTCTCTGTACCTCCACGGTGTTCACTGTGTAGTGTTGTAGTAGGCTGTGTCTCCTGTATGTATTCACGTAGTGTGGTGTCTCTGTACCACCACGGTGTTCACTGTGTAGTGTTGTAGTAGGCTGTGTCTCCTGTATGTATTCACGTAGTGTGGTGTATCTGTACCAACACGGTGTTCACTGTGTAGTGTTGTAGTAGGCTGTGTCTCCTGTATCCCTGTCTGTATTCACGTAGTGTGGTGTCTCTGAACCTCCACGGTGTTCACTGTGTAGTGTTGTAGTAGGCTGTGTCTCCTGTATCGCTGTCTGTATTCACGTAGTGTGGTGTCTCTGAACCTCCACGGTGTTCACTGTGTAGTGTTGTAGTACGCTCTGCCTCTTGTACCACTGTCTGTATTCACGTAATGTGGTGTCTCTGTACCACCACGGTGTTCACTGTGTAGTGTTGTAGTAGGCTGTGTCTCCTGTATCGCTGTCTGTATTCACGTAGTGTGGTGTCACTGTACCACCACGGTGTTCACTGTGTAATGTTGTAGTAGGCTGTGTCTCCTGTATCGCTGTCTGTATTCACGTAGTGTGGTGTCTCTGAACCACCACCGTGTTCACTGTGTAGTGTTGTAGTACGCTCTGCCTCTTGTACCACTGTCTGTATTCACGTAGTGTGGTGTCACTGTACCATAGGCCACGGTGTTCACTGTGTAGTGTTGTAGTAGGCCTCCTGTATTGCTGTCTGTATTCACGTAGTGTGGTGTCTCTGTACCACCACGGTGTTCACTGTGTAGTGTTGTAGTACGCTCTGCCTCTTGTACCACTGTCTGTATTCACGTAATGTGGTGTCTCTGTACCATCACGGTGTTCACTGTGTAGTGTTGTAGTAGGCTGTGTCTCCTGTATCGCTGTCTGTATTCACGTAGTGTGGTGTCTCTGTACCACCACGGTGTTCACTGTGTAGTGTTGTAGTACGCTCTGCCTCTTGTACCACTGTCTGTATTCACGTAGTGTGGTGTCTCTGTACCATCACGGTGTTCACTGTGTAGTGTTGTAGTAGGCTGTGTCTCCTGTATCGCTGTCTGTATTCACGTAGTGTGGTGTCACTGTACCACCACGGTGTTCACTGTGTAGTGTTGTAGTAGGCTGTGTCTCGTGTATCGCTGTCTGTATTCACGTAGTGTGGTGTCACTGTACCACCACGGTGTTCACTGTGTAGTGTTGTAGTACGCTCTGCCTCTTATACCACTGTCTGTATTCACGTAGTGTGGTGTCACTGTACCACCACGGTGTTCACTGTGTAGTGTTGTAGTAGACTGTGTCTCCTGTATCGCTGTCTGTGTTGACGTAATGTGGTGTCTCTGCACCCTCCACGGTGTTGACGTACTGCCTCGGAGCCATGGCGTATTGGTGATCGACGTCCTCGTACGCTGATGTAGAGGCGTACACGTTTGTAGCTTGGGCATCTGAAACAAATAACACTTTAAATGTTACTTCAAGTACGGTGTGTATTTTATGACAAATTTTCGTTTGCGTCACTCGTGTCCTAGCTTGTTTAGTGTACAAAGCATTCTTGTGTTTTTGACTGTCTAAGTCATTCTCATTCTTGTGTTTTGTGATAACATCATGCATGTAACACCTACACACCTTTGGTCTTGTTCTTGTTGTGCTTCCACGACAACGACAGTGACGACGCTGCCGAACACAGCACCGCCAACAGTTCCAGCTGCTACGTAGACGCCACTGGGGGAGGTAACACACGCTGTAAATGGGAAACAACAGTCACTATCCTGGGTCAAAATTCGAATTTTGTTAGGTCTCGGGGCTCACGCTACCAGAACAGAGTCGGAATTACAATCAGTGAACGGTTTCTCAACACGTGGACACAAATATCTCCCCGAATCTGTTCTGGTCTTCTATGAATGAGTACTACAGACATTAATGACCATAACAGTGTTAAACTGAGTAGATGTAACATTGCTCAAACATACTACACAATCTAAACAATAAACATAAAACAACATGGTACTCGTTTAAGTGTATATACTATCTTTTTATAATGTATGCAATTTCAAACAATGTGAAAACGTATCACTCCAGTTGTTTTAAGTCATTGCATATGTTTAACTGGTCAACTACACAACATGGAACAGTATCTGTAACTCTGGTCAAGTTATACAACATTCTCGGTGTCTTCAATGATGGTTAGTTCTGTGACAGTCTTGTAGGTTGAGCTCCTGATTTCAGGAAGAGATATTGATAACTTTTAACAATTGATTCACTTTTCTAGTACTTTTTTGGTTATGATTATATGCCACATTTCTTTAGCGCCCTATATGACCTACTTCCAGATCACTCTAAGGCGCATCACAAGTTGTTTTCCCCTCGATTATCGGATGTCAGTTTCAAACGTCACGATGCATTATCAATGTCAACTCCCTGGGGCATCATACAACTCTTGCAGCCACTAGGCACACCGAGTTAATGTGACTTTCGCATCCTTACGAGGTACCCATTCACAGCTGGGTGGACTGGGACACATAGTCACAGTACTTTGTCCAAGTTTACTGCACATTGCTGCACTCGCAACTAGTTTCACTCCGAGGTTTTCACTCCCGGTCACAGGTGGGCTCGATCCCGGCACCTCAAGCTCGTTGGATCACTAGCCTGGCGCCTTAGACAGCTCGCCCACCACGCCCCACGAAATATGTTCTTGTTTTACTTGTACAGCAGATCTGGGTTTTATCTGAAGGTAAAGCCAGCGTCCGTCACGAGCCTACCTGGACATTGCTGTGTCGTTGTCACAGGGGGGGGGAGTACTGATGGACATACTAGTGTCCCCTGGGGGAACTGTTGACGGAGACGATGATGATGTTGTGGTTGAGTGAGTGAGTGGTTTACGTCATTAAAGGCACAATGTCACACAATAGTTTGGCCTATATTATATATACTACAAACAAAAACTATGGGAACACCCTACAATTTCATAGTCATATATAAACTTAAACGGACATACTAGTGTCACCTGGGGGAAGTGTTGACGCAAACGATGATGATGTTGTGGTTGTTGTAGAAACTGTAGAAACTGATGCAGAGTGTGTTGACTGGGGAACAGTCACATCTGAAACAAATGGGGACAAGTTAATAAGTACCAAAAGGTTAACACTCTTCGTCTTAGTCACATTCTCTTAGTGAGCGAGTGAGTGAGTGGTTTACGTTATTAAAGGCACAATGTCACACAATAGTTTGGCCTAAAGTGCGTGCGTGCGTGCGTGCGTGTGTGTGTGTGTGAGCATCCTAGGGCTGATAGTTAGTATTATTGAGAGAAAAGCAGTATTTCCTTTTAGAGAAGTGTGGTGTGATATAGTGCCTTATCACGGACAATAATAAGTTTCTGCCCTTTTGGCATCCCACAGAAATTTCTATAATACGTACAAAGACCTTGTGTGCATATTTTGCATTTGTGTACACTTTAGAATGTATTATTAGGGTAGAAACATGGCTCGTTTTCTGCTTGCTTTCGTGACTCTGACAGAAAATACACAAGGTCAAGTCCACTGTTGAAGTACCCCTGCGTAAAGAGCAGTATCCTTCATCTGAAACACCAGTCTGTTCATTTCCTTGTGAAGCATTCGACTGTTCCTTCGCCAGCCTTACATTTATTTTTCCCTAATGTGTGTATGCCAGCTACGTATATACCGCGTATATGGCTACGTATATACCGCTGGCTACGTATATATACCGCCACTACGATGACGTCTCCTGGTACACACACACTGCACTTTTGAATAAAAAGTACAAGCAGTGCATCAACTAACAATATCCTCTGGCACAAAGATTCCTAAAACCAAATATGTGATAGCAAAGTCTTTTAGTACAGCCTCGATCCTTCAGTCATAGCACATGGCTTGTATGCATTTATTTTCCACTTTCGCCTTCATCTTCATACTATGTATTTGACACATTATCGGATAGGGTTCCCACCTGTTCCTGTGATTTCCTGAACTGTTCTGTGGGTAATTATGTTGTTAAAATCATTAATCAACCTCACTGCATGAATGAAAGCAGTTTCATTTGATTCATTTGACATGCATGTGAAGCAGTATGAAAGCATTCGTGTAAAAACGCCTATCGCATCCTGTCACACTCATTAACCTTTGAAGTAATTATGCGCTTAATATGCAAATTTTGTGATCTAAACAGTTTGCCTGGAATATAATTCTGTCAAAAGGAAAACATTCAGCCTTGCTTTGCATTTTTTAGCCAAAATGCTTGTAAAAAGTAGCTCTTCACGCAAAATCTCAAAATCTTTCCTTCAGCATTTCCATGAAATCCAACATTGTGAAATCCTGTGGTAACATTATTAATCAATATTAATCCTGTGGTAACATTATTAATCAATATATTGTAAAACGAGTTCATTGTATGGATGGAGAATGATAAATAAAACACTTTTTTTAAAATTTGAATTTTGCACTCATTGCCCTTTGACCCCAATTTGTGACCTAATTAGGCATTTTTGAGCTTAGCAAACAACAGATTCGTATTCAGCACGAAAAACTACCCTAGAAAATGTTATTTGCTTGCTTTTACTCAGAAATGCCCCATGCATCATTAAACTGCACATTTCTTAGAAATGTGACTAGACGATAAGCGGGTGTGTTGTGACAGGCGCTGACAGTCTAAGGGAGATAACTGTAGTTACCAGAAGTTAGAATTAATGCAGACACTATCAGTGAGTTGGGATATATTAATGTTGCACGGCAACTGGTAAGTAAATCTACATTATTGAAGCAGTTTTGTACATCTCACCAGGATATCTGGTGGTTTCAGATTATGTTGATGTAAAGGTATTGTAGAAACAGCCGTTTTGTGTCTGGTTACAGAATGTAGGTTGTAACAGGGTGTGCTGAAGATTGATCTTTCAGTTGGGGGAATGTCCAAACTGATGCATGTCTTGGGTGTTTATTTTGTTGTCGACCAACGGCTTGGTGCTGACAAATCTAATGATGCAATGTTGTTGCTGATAATGAACAAAGAAAACACAGCGCCTCACTTATCGTCATCGTATTGCTCGTCTGACTGTACGCAGCATCCATACACTGCCACCTGGATCCATTGTCTATGGTTGAGTTGATCCTGAGAGTCACATTGTGTTGTGTGGCATCACAGCTCACATTGACCCGACCTGACAGATGCTTGAAGATGTCATTGTTGGATACTCTGGGACTGAAGGAACCTTGCATTGTGGAGAAGACTATTGTATCATCTCTGTACCACTGTCTATCTTGTCCCCCAGTTGTGTTTCTGCTGCAGATCAGGGTGAACAGTTCTCCGTCTGTCGCTGTCAACGGGGAACTTGTCAGGACTAAAGAACCTGATAAAAATCGCACATGAAAAAAGATATCAAAATCTTATTAAACCCGGAGACAAAAATAAGTTAGTAAGTATAATGTGATGTACAAAAGATAAAGATTGCTCGTATGCTGTTCTGCATTACAAGTAAAGACATTTTTCCATGCCGTTAAAGTCATCCCACGACTATCTGTTTTAGTCTTCCTGATTGAAGGTTATTTCACCTTCATAGACATTCTTTCATTTTTGAGAAATAACTACTAATAACATGCTGATGAATTCATAGCTGCAGAGCTAAAGTGAGTGAGTGAGTTTAGTTTTACGCCGCACTCAGCAATATTCCAGCTATATGGCTGCAGTCTGTAAATAATCCAGTCTGGACCAGACAATCCAGTAATCAACAGCACGAGCATCGACCTGTGCAATTGGGAACCGATGACATGTGGCAACCAAGTCAACGAGCCTGACCACCCGTTCCCGTCAGTCGCCTCTTACGACAAGCATATGCATGGGCTACTGAAGGTACATTCTGACCCACATCTTACACGAGTTTGCAGCGCTAAAGACGTTGATTTAGTTTTCTGTTACATTAAATCCGAATCGGGATTCGAACCCACTACCTTCATAAAGTACTCAATGATGTATTCCAAAATACAGCATGTGTTACATCTGACCACTTTCTGAAAGGCACTGTGTATTGCATCACCGTTGTTGTGAGTCGCATTAACACGTCACTGCAAACATTGGATTGGAAGACTATTCTGCATGAAGAACATACACACAAGAGTAAGTGGTTTATATTACGATACTAGTATCAGGTAGCTCAACGCATATGTCAGGAAAATACTAGTCCGTTTAACGAACACCCACCTACGTGTTCTGTGAAGCCAACGAATGTCAGCAGCACCAGTCGTGAAATCCGATACATGACCATCATACAGTCAGCGTGGTCCGTCTGTAAAATACACAGCAGTTGCTCATCCATTCTGTTATTCTACATATTGGTGACCTTGGCAGTTCCGATATTCCAGGACAGTGTCACAGTATGCACTCTCTTCTCTTATTTATCTCTGAAATAATGTTCTTTGATGTCAGCGTCTAAATCGCCTACTTTATATTACACATCTCTATCTCCCTGAGAGTAAACCTGTGTATACATGTAGCAATGACACAACACCCTGTAATCACTGTGTCGTTTATATTGACAGTAGACGAGTCGTGTGTACACATGTAACGGATACTGATCAGGTGCAAAGGTATGTAGTTTCTCCAAGCGAAAAAAAGCCCTCATTCCTACAAATACTTTGATACGTTGACCTAATGTGAATGCCAGAATACCTTCGAAATATTCCAGAATAATGTACCAAGGAGTGACTGAGTGAGTATGGTTTTACGCCACTTTTAGCAATATTCCAGCAATACCACGGCAAGGGACACCAGACATTGGCTTCACACATTGTACCTATGTGGGGTACCGAACCCGGGGTCTTCGGCGTTACGAGCGGGCGCTCTGGCCACAAAGCTACTCACCGCCCCTTGTACAAAGGAAGTGAGATGTAGGGATTTGTCCGGGTCAGTGTCACCATCCTCATCTACCACTGCAGTGATGACCTATCTACAGATAACAGTATTATCCTTACACCCTGTAAACAGCCGAACATCGTTGTGTTGAAGTTAAAGAAACACGTAAATACGTCGAGTTTCACAAGGTTCAACACAACATTAGATAATGGCTGAAACAAATTCGGGAGGCATTTACTTCAAGACAACCGTTGGTTCCATACATCAAAGTTCCACACAACGGTGTTTATCTGTACTTCAAGAGCTTCGTGTCAACAGAGCTGCATTAACCTGTGTATGTACATAACATGGAACTGCCACGGGCGTCCCGGAGTCTCCGTGGCGTAGTCAGTGAGCTATCCGTCACAAGATAAGATAATGTTATACAGTCAGCTTGGTATTTATTTTCTCAAACAAGGAAGTTATTGTTGTTACGCACTCATTACAGTGCAATATTACCACGCTATTATTATCAGCGTATACACTCACCATCTGCGGGAGTACGGCAGGCTAACTTTAATCTCATCCTCGATAATCTCCACTGGAGAGTTATCGTAACGTATACCCTGGAGATTATCGAGGATGACTTTCATCTGTGCGAGATCATTTCAGCGGTCTGATGAGTTTTACTTTCATTCCTTGGTTCTGTTAAGGTGTGAGAGTCAGACGCTATAGTTCCCGTACCTCTTCACAGAACTTTAATGTATACCTTCCCTCGAATAATCACATTTTATTTAGGAAATAAAGTTCGCTCTACCCCAATGTGTTTTGTAATAAAGTATAGTTTTGCCCTGAACTATTATAATTAAAGCACGAGGACGGTAGTTATTGATGTTATAATAGTTCAGGGCAAAACTATACTTTATTACAAAACACATTGGGGTAGAGCGAACTTTACATCTTTTCTAAGATGCTAAATTTAATACTTTCTAAGGATAATTACGATTAATTTAAGGCAGAAAACAAATGACGGTGTCGGTGACCTAAATTAAGAATCCTCGCACAGGGCTAACTGGTGCGCTGTTCTATTGATGTGTCTGCCCCCCTACGTTAAGATGAACGTTACCAGAAAAAAACAAATGATAACAGTTTGATGACGGTTTACGTTCGGATTAAATATCTTCTCTGAATTATTTTAATTACATCTGTCATTAACGTAAACCATATGGGGCAATATGAACGTCGCATTTCTACTACCAACGTAAGTTTAGATCAGTACATCCAGATGAAGCTGAGTAGTCAAGCGACATTCCACGGTTGCATTGTGGGAATGTAAACATTGCGAACGTTACCGTGTCGCTGAAAACTTGTGAGTCGAATTGACACATTTTAACGTCGTAAAACATAAACGTAATGTTTCCACCAGTGATGTTAGCTGCGTGAAGCAACTGCAAACCAAGAAACGGGATGCAACGGAGTAGTTTACTGTAGGAGGCCGTACGAGGCGATGACAACTGACATGCATCGTGACGTCACTTACATTGTGACGTAATGTAAAATAATTCGATTACGAGGGGGCACACTAGAATGGCGCAGTGACGGGATAACGTCATTCAATTGTTACGTCATCAAAAAACTATACCTTTATTGTCTCATAATGTTGGTTTTTTTCGATTGTTCTAACCGCTAGGCATCTTAGAATATTCATTCTAAAATAGTTTTTAAACTTGATAAGTAACTCAATGCACCAATGTTTGTTGTATGTTATGTAAAAGATAAACCAGTTAGGGCTTTCCTCAGAGATACCATTTGGTGTACAGGACAAAAGAGCTGTGAAAATCATGTGGATGGATCACAGAAAATCAGTGATGACACCAGGTGTTCGCGAAAAGAGTAAGTATGTCCTGCCCTACTGGTAGCAAATGCCATTGTTACGGCATTCCCCTTGTAGTCTCTCTGTGTGAATGTCAATATAGAAGTACAATGTATGCGTTTCACATTACAGCGACAAGTGTATTATACCAGTACTTACTTAGCTTAGCCTCTCTCTCTCTCTCTCTCTCTCTCTCTCTCTCTCTCTCTCTCTCTCTCTCTCTCTCTCTCTCTCTCTCTCTCTCTCTCTCTCTCTCTCTCTCTCTCTCTCTCTCTCTCTCTCTCTCTCTCTCTCTCTCTCTCTCTCTCTCTCTCTCTCTCTCTCTCTCTCTCAATGGTATATCACTCTCTCTCTCTCTCAATGGTATATCACACAATACTTTCATTGCCGCTTTTACACTGATGCAGTTCCAAATGATGCAGTTACAAACAATAAGAGTTGTTAGAATAGTGCAGATTGCGACTTTGAAATGCATATTTCAAAAAGGTCAAGTCAATGTTGATATTGACATCGACAATACTAGTGAACGGTAACAAACTCCCACTTCCTAACCCGTTATCAACTTGTGTGAACCAGTTTGAGTCCTGTGGATGAAAAACCTGTGTTACACAGGGACGTGTAGTCTGTCTCACAGTCCCTGAACCACATTATTTTCCCTACTGCCTAGCCCTCTCTGCAGTGCTAAAGCCCTAAATAAAGCAAGTCTAGATTTCCTCAGGTTCAGGTTCTGAATCTCTGGTCTTCCTAGGGCTCCTTTTCAATTTACATGAGCTTGTTTGTTCCTATCAAAATTATATATATTCAGACACTAAGCATTAGTCGAAGGGACGTGCTGCGATCCCCTCTCGTGCTACGATGTGACACAGTGTGAGCACCCAGACTGTACTTTAGATGAACCAGTAACGCATACTCCTCTGAAGTCTCCTCTGACGAATTGTGTTCCACCCTCGTTTAAGCCTGGTTGTTACATTTGTTTGAGTGGCATTCTAGAAGTTGGTGGTATAGAGATGACACAACTTTAGGGATATCATATGCTTGAAAACGGTAAAAGAATCTATACCAAAACATCGTCATTGCCAAAATAAAGAAATTGATCATCCATAACGTTTCGTCATCTCAGGCTGCTACACTTGGTTACAGAGGGTGTGTTAGTTTGATCACCCAATTCAAATGACACATGTAAATATATATGACAATGTCTGTTTGTTCCAAGGAAATTATTCGTCATATGAGCGAAATATTCTCAAGCACGACGTAAAACCCAATTTCACCTCACCTCTAATGAAATACATGTACTGTTGCAAATCCGGTAGGGTATGAATATTGATATGTACTTTTCAACGTTTGCTAAGAATAAGGTTTTGATTATATCAAGCAATAATCCAGCAGATAAAGATTAAAATATTCCGGTACACGATGATAGGTTACCCCTACTGGACCTCAGTTTCAAGATGAACGAGCTGCAGATCGCCTTCTCCCGACATCCTGTCTCCTAACAACTCTTCGGTTTTGTTACTTTGTTATGTACCGTCGAACTCAGAAGTATTCCAGCTATATGGCGGCAGTCTGTAAATAATCCAGTCTGGACCAGACAAGCCAGTGATCAACAGCATGAGCATCGATATACGCAGTTGGGATACGATGACATGTGTCAACCAAAGTCAGCATCCGATCACGTTGCTCGCCCCTTACGGAATGCATGGGTTGCTGAAAATCAATTCAAACCTTGGTCTTAACGGGCTCCAACAGCACTGGATGAAATCTTGTGTGTTTTGAAATATGGGTCTGTTTCTGTGATTTGCTGACGTTTCAATTTCGGTCAGATACTTTAATTTTGACATGTCATCTGAGTGATTATTGTTCACATGCTGTTAGTCATTGTCATGTCTGACCACAGACTTCACGCCATGTTGACTGTGGTTATCTCAACACATACACTCGATTAGATTATTTCCTTAAACAGGTCATCAATAAACAGGTCATACAAGCTCGTTTCAAGTCATGATTGAATTTATTTTAAAGACTCCAAGAAATGTATGCTCCTGGCATACTAGTCATCCTTTAAAGAAGTGAAATTTTGCCAAAAACACTCCAAAAGAACTACATGTTTTTTCCTTATATTTATGTGCATTAACAAACATTAATGACGCTAACCAATTTTTTTCGATGATTGATCGGTTGTAATAAACCAATCATCAATTATGAGATTTTAACCAATTCCCAACACTAGTGTACACACATTAATCAAGGGTTCTTTGTTCTGTGGGGCGGTGGGGTAGCCTAGTGGTTAAGGCGTTCGCTCGTCACGCCGAAGACCCGGGTTCGATTCCCCATATGGGTACAATGTGTTCAGCCCATTTCTGGTGTCCCCCGCCGTGATATTGCTGGAATATTGCTAAAAGCGGCGTAAAACCAAACTCACTCACTCACTCTTTGTTCTGTTACGCCCATTAATGATTTTATGAGCACTTCAGTCAGTTTACCCTAATAGAGTTACCTCCCCCAGTGGGACTCTTCCGGGGACATTTAGGAACCAATTAACCAAGGTTAGACAATTACACAGTCCCCACAGTGTAAGTTTTATTCCCTTTTATCTCTGTAAGGTTTTTGCCACTTCCACTATTACTGTTAGTCAGGAAATGAGCATTAAATGTAATTTAAATGTTTTGAACTTGTTCTGTGTTTTGGCTCCATTAGCAGAGGTCACACATTTTTACATCACTGAAAATATGATTTTATATTTGTATTCTCTCTTTATTAATAATTGATGTAGGAATCATTTCAATGAGTTAAATGCATTCTTGTTTCATATTAGAATGTCTAAATAAGCTTAAACATTTTGTACAGTGTTATTTCAATGACCTTTTGAATTATCAAGTCATTACTGATTTATCTAGCCATTATTGTAGAACTTATTCGATCTTTTTATGTCCATCTCAGTCTTTTATACAAGACTGAATAACTGGTCACAGTACTTTCTTGCTATTAGGTGTGCTGTTATGACAGTAGCAAGGATCAACTTCAATATTTACCTTTAACTTCAACTAAAGATAGTTTAAGTGCATGGAACAGCTGCGATCACTCAACACAACGCCAAATAGGGCGGGTCTCCTAATCTCAGGTCCACATTCTGATACCGCTCACATCCTAGCGGTGAATTGCTCGGTTTCCCAGACGCATCAGCAAGTTTATCCGGGAAGTGATGTCAATGTGACGGCAAGGGAAGAAATATTATCTGTATAACACTGCACTGAAATAGAGGATAATGTCAGTCACGACTTAAAGCCGAGAGCATCGTCACCGTCAGTAAGAAGAAATAACTATCATCTAACACTATTGTTTTACAACAAAGATCAACAATATTACTCCTCACAGGTACGCGTTTTATAAGTACAGCCGTTTTATAAGTACCGCCGTTTTATAAGTACCGCCGGTTTATAAGTACAGCCGTTTTATAAGTACAGCCGTTTTATAAGTACCGCCGTTTTATAAGTACCACCGTTTTCACTGGTATTAGACAATACCATGTCAGGGACACCAGAGATGAGCTTCAGACAACGTACCTAAATATAGAATGTGACCTGGGCGTGGGAGGGAACGCTTTAACCACTCGGCCACCTCACCGCCTGACCAAACCACCAAAGCCATGACACCAGATGAAAGGTGTGGATTCGAGGGTCTAAGAGATCAGTTCGGACATATGTACCCAAGTAGCGTCTGTCACATCTGGCCTACTAGTGTCATGTTGGGATGAACGTCGTTGTTTTCTGATGCTACACTCATGTCCCAGAAGTCCAGGTAATACACATAGTGTGGTGTCTCTGAACCTCCAGGGTGTTCACTGTGTAGTGTTGTAGCAGGCCGTGCATCTTGTACCACTGTCTGTATTCACGTAGTGTGGTGTCTCTGTACCTCCACGGTATTCGCTATGAGTGTTGTAGTAGGCCGTGCATCTTGTACCACTGTCTGTCTTCACGTAGTGTGGTGTCTCTGTACCTCCACGGTGTTCACTGTGTAGTGTTGTAGTAGGCCGTGTCTCCTGTCTGTATTCACGTAGTGTGGTGTCTCTGAACCTCCAAGGTGTTCACTGTCTAATGTTGTAGTAGGCCGTGTCTCCTGTCTGTATTCACGTAGTGTGGTGTCTCTGTACCTCCACGGTGTTCACTGTGTAGTGTTGCAGTCGGCCGTGTCTCCTGTCTGTATTCACGTAGTATGGTGTCTCTGAACCTCCACAGTGTTCACTGTGTAGTGTTGTAGTAGGCTGTGTCTCCTGTCTGTATTCACTTAGTGTGGTGTCTCTGTACCTCCACGGTGTTCACTGTGTAGCGTTGTAGTACGCTCTGCCTCTTGTACCACTGTTTCTATTCACGTAGTGTGGTGTCTCTGTACCACCACGGTGTTCACTGTGTAGTGTTGTAGTAGGCCGTGCATCTTGTACCACTGTCTGTATTCACGTAGTGTGGTGTCTCTGTACCTCCACGGTGTTCACTGTGTAGTGTTGTTGTCGACCGTGTCTCCTGTCTGTATTCACGTAGTGTGGTGTCTCTGTACCTCCACGGTGTTCACTGTGTAGTGTTGTAGTCGGCCGTGTCTCCTGTCTGTATTCACGTAGTGTGGTGTATCTGTACCACCACGGTGTTCACTGTGTAGTGTTGTAGTAGGCTGTGTCTCCTATCTGTATTCACGTAGTGTGGTGTCTCTGTACCACCACGGTGTTCACTGTGTAGTGTTGTAGTACGCAGTGCATCTTGTACCACTGTCTGTATTCACGTAGTGTGGTGTCTCTGTACCACCACCGTGTTCACTGTGTAGTGTTGTAGTAGGCCGTGTCTCCTGTCTGTATTCACGTAGTGTGGTGTGTCTAAACCTCCACGATGTTCACTGTGTAGTGTTGTAGTAGGCTGTGTCTCCTGTCTGTATTCACGTAGTGTGGTGTCTCTGTACCTCCACGGTGTTCACTGTCTAGTGTTGTAGTAGGCCGTGTCTCCTGTCTGTATTCACGTAGTGTGGTGTCTCTGTACCTCCACGGTGTTCACTGTTTAGTGTTGTAGTCGGCCGTGTCTCCTGTCTGTATTCACGTAGTGTGGTGTGTCTAAACCTCCACGGTGTTCACTGTGTAGTGTTGTAGTAGGCTGTGTCTCCTGTAACCCTGTCTGTATTCACGTAGTGTGGTGTCTCTGCACCCTCCACGGTGTTGACGTACTGCCTCGGAGCCATGGCGTATTGGTGATCGACGTACTCGTACGCTGATGTAGAGGCGTATACGTTTGTAGCTTGGTCATCTGAAACAAATAACACTTCAAATGTTACTTCAAGTACGGTGTGTATTTTATGACAAATTTTCGTTTGCGTCACTCGTGTCCTAGCTTGTTTAGTGTACAAAGCATTCTTGTGTTTTTGACTGTCTAAGTCATTCTCATTCTTGTTTTTTTGTGATAACATCATGCATGTAACACCTATAACAAGGCATGTTCCACACCTTTGGTCTTGTTCTTGTTGTGCGTCCACAGGGCGACGACAACGACAGTGACGACGCTGCCGAACACAGCACCGCCAACAGTTCCAGCTGCTACGTAGACGCCACTGGGGGAGGTAACACACGCTGTAAATGGGAAACAACAGTCACTATCCTGGGTCAAAATTCGAATTTGTTTTGTTAGGGCTCAGGGCTCACGTTACCAGAACAGAGTCGGAATTACAATCAGTGAACGGTTTCTCAACACGTGGACACAAATATCTCCCTGAATCTGTTATCGTGCTGTATGAATGAATACTACAGACATTAATGACCATAACAGTGTTAAACTGAGTAGATGTAACATTGCTCAAACATACTACACAATCTAAACAATAAACATAAAACAACATGGTAATCGTTTAAGTGTATATACTTTATTTTTATAATGTATGCAATTTCAAACAATGTGAAAACGTATCACTCCAGTTGTTTTAAGTCATTGCATATGTTTAACTGGTCACCTACACAACATGGAACAGTATCTGTAACTCTGGTCAAGTTATACAACATTCTCGGTGTCTTCAATGATGCTTAGTTCTGTGACAATCTTGTAGGTTGAGCTCCTGATTTCAGGAAGAGATATTGATAACTTTTAACAATTGATTCACTTTTCTAGTACTTTTTTGGTTATTATTATATGCCACATTTCTTTAGCACCCTATATGACCTACTTCCAGATCACTCTAAGGCGCTTCACAAGTTGTTTTCCCCTCGATTATTGGATGTCAGTCTCAAACGTTACGATGCATTATCAATCGCAACTCCCTGGGGCATCATACAATTCTTGCAGCCACTAGGCGCACCGAGTTAATGTGACTTTGGCATCCTTACGAGGTACCCATTCACAGCTGGGTGAACTGGGACACATAGTACTTTGTCCAAATTTACTGCACATTGCTGCACTCGCAACTAAGTGTTTGCACGTATTCATATGGCCACCATCTGGTTGTTTAAGTGCTCTACACAGGGGTTGTGACAACACTGAGAGAGTCTGCACACAGGGTTGTGTACTGCACTAGGGGTTGTGACAACAATGAGAGAGTCTCCACACAGAGTTGACTCCGAGGTTTTTACACCCAGGCACAGGTGGGCACCCGACACAGGTCGATCCCGGCACCTCAAGCTCGTTGGATCACTAGCCTGGCAACAGCTCACAGCTCACCCACCACGCCCGACGAAATGTGTTTTTGTTTTACTTGTCCAGCAGATCTGGTTTATATCTGAAGGTAAAGCCAGCGTCCGTCACGAGCCTACCTGGATATTGCTGTGTCGTTGTCACAGGGGGAGTACTGATGGACATACTAGTGTCACCTGGGGGAACTGTTGACGTAGACGATGATGGTGCTGTTGTGGTTGTTGTAGAAACTGTAGAAACTGATACAGAGTGTGTTGACTGGGGGAACAGTCACATCTGAAACAAAGGGGACAAGTTAATAAGTACCAAAAGGTTAACACTTTTCGTCTTAGTCACATTCTGTTAGTGAGCGAGTGAGTGAGTAGTTTATGTGATTAAAGGCACAATGTCACACAATAGTTTGGCCTATATTATATATACTACAAACAAAAAGTATGGGAACACCCTACAATTTGATAGTCATATATAAACTTAAACGTGGTGAGGTCATTTATACTCTAAGGTAAATGGGTACTTTGAACGACAGGTTGGAAGAACATGCAGTGAAGCAACTGATTCAATATTCTTAGAGGTTGAGTGTAATGAAACATTGTCAAAAACAGCGAAAAACAAGGGTGCTGAAACACACCAACACCGTGTTTGATTCAAAGGTCCAAACACAGCAGCCTAGTGCTTGTGGAAGTCAGAAAGACGGGGTGTGTGTGTGTGCGTGCGTGCGTGCGTGCGAGCGAGCGTTCGTGTGTGTGTGTGTGAGCTTCCTAGGGCTGATAGTTAGTATTATTGAGAGAAAAGCATTCTTTCTTTTTAAAGAAGTGTGCTGAGATATAGTGCCTTATCAAGGACAATAATAAATTTAAGCTCTTTTGGCATCCCACAGAAATTTACAGTCAGTGTGATAGCATGATTCGGCTGCTATTAAATCATTCACGTCTATAATACGTACAAAGACCTTGTGTGCATATTTTGTATTTGTGTACACTTTAGAATGTATTATTAGGGTAGAAACATGGTTCGTTTTCTGCTTGCTTGACTCTGACAGAAAATACACAAGGTCAAGTCCACTGTTGAAGTACCCCTGCGTAAAGAGCAGTATCCTTCATCTGAAACACCAGTCTGTTCATTTCCTTGTGAAGCATTCGATTGTTCCTTCGCCAGTCTTACATTTATTTTTCCCTAATGTGTGTATGCCAGCTACGTATATACCGCTGGCTACGTATATACCGCTGGCTACGTATATACCGCCACTGATGACGTCTCCTGGTACACACACACTGCACTTTTTGAATAAAAAAGTACAAGCAGTGCATCAACTAACAAAATCCTCTGGCACAAAGATTCCTAAAACCAAATATGTGATAGCAAAGTCTTTTAGTACAGCCTCGATCCTTCAGTCATAGCACATGGCTTGTATGCATTTATTTTCCACTTTCGCCTTCATCTTCATACTATGTATTTGACACATTATCGGATAGGGTTGCCACCTGTTCCTGTGATTTCCTGAACTGTTCTGTGGGTAATTATGTTGTTAAAATCATTAATCAACCTCACTGCATGAATGAAAGCAGTTTCATTTGATTCATTTGACATGCATGTGAAGCAGTATGAAAGCATTCGTGTAAAAACGCCTATCGCATCCTGTCACACTCATTAACCTTTGAAGTAATTATGCGCTTAATATGCAAATTTTGTGATCTAAACAGTTTGCCTGGAATATAATTCTGTCAAAAGGAAAACATTCAGCCTTGCTTTGCATTTTTTAGCCAAAATGCTTGTAAAAAGTAGCTCTTCACGCAAAATCTAAAAATCTTTCCTTCAGCATTTCCATGAAATCCAACATTTTGAAATCCTGTGGTAACATTATTAATCAATATATTGTAAAAAGAGTTCATTGTATGGATGGGGAATGATAAATAAAACACTTTTTTCTAAAAATGTGAACTTTGCACTCATTGACCTTTGACCCCAATTTGTGACCTAATTAGGCATTTTTGAGCTTAGCAAACAACAGATTAGTATTCAGCACGAAAAACTACCCTAGAAAATGCTATTTGCTTGCTTTTACTCAAAAATGCCTCATGCATCATTAAACTCCACATTTCTTAGAAATTTGACTAGACGATAAACGGGTGTGTTGTGACAGGCGCTGACGGTCTAAGGGAGATAAATTTAGCTACCAGAAGTTAGAATTAATGCAGACACTATCAGTGAGTTGGGAAATATTAATGTTGCACGGCAACTGGTAAGTAAATCTACATTATTGAAGCAGTTTCGTACACCTCACCAGGATATCTGGTGGTTTCAGATTATGTTGATGTAAAGGTATTGTAGAAACAGCCGTTTTGCGTCTGGTTACAGAATGTATGTTGTAACAGGCTGTGCTGAAGATAGATCTTTCAGTTGGGGGAATGTCCAAACTGATGCATGTCTTGGGTGTTTATTTTGTTGTCGACCAACGGCTTGGTGCTGACAAATCTAATGATGCAATGTTGTTGCTGATAATGAACAAAGAAAACCCAGCGCCTCACATATCGCCAGCGTGTTGCTCCTCTGACTGTCGACATTATCCACACACTGCCACCTGGATCCATTGTCTAGGGCTGAGTTGATCCTGAGAGTCACATTGTGTTGTGTGGCATCACAGCTCACATTGACCCGACCTGACATATACATGTTGAAGATGTAAGGGTTGTTTACAGTGGGACTGTGGGAACCTTGTGTTGTGTAGAAGACTGGTGATACACCATCTCTGTTCCACTGTCTATCTTGTCCACCAGTTGTGTTTCTGCTGCAGATCAGGGTGAACAGTTCTCCGTCTGTCGCTGTCATGGGGGAACTTGTCAGGACTAAAGAACCTGATAAAAATCGCACATGCAAAAAGATATCACAATTTTATTAAACCCGGGGACAAAAATAAGTTAGTAAGTATAATGTGATGTACAAAGAACGCCGCACTCCAGCAATATTCCAGCTATATGGCGGCAGTCTGTAAATAATCCAGTCTGGACCAGACAATCCAGTGATCAACAGCATGAGCATCGATATACGCAGTTGGGATACGATGACATGTGTCAACCAAGTCAGCAAGCCTGACCATCCGATCACGTTGCTCGCCCCTTACGGAATGCATGGGTTGCTGGAGACTAATGCTAACCCTGGTCTTCACGGTTCCAACAGCACTAAAGGAACCCCGCAATGAAGAAGTGAGACAATCATCCATTGGCAATCGGAGATGATGGCGCCTGGATGTAATCTTGTGTGTTTTAAATATGGGTCTGTTTCTGTGATTTGTTGACGTTTCAATTTTGGTCAGATACTTTAATGTTGACATGTCATCTGAGTGATTATTGCTCACATGCTGTTTGTCATTGTCATGTCAGACCACAGACTTCACGCCATGTTGACTGTGGTTATCTCAACACATACATTCGATTAGATTATTTCGTTTTAAAGGTCATCAATAAGATAGAGAAGCATACGCTCAAACATGGACAATGTGAACATGTCTGTGTACACACATTAATCAAGGGTTCTTTGTTCTGTTACGCCTATTAATGATTTTATGAGCACTACAGTCAGTTTACGCCCTAATAGAGCTACTTCCCTCGGTGGAACTCTTCCGGAGGAGATAGACTTGTGATCCCTCACAACATGATGTCGTCTGCTTTCAGCAGCTCATATTTGGGGTAATTAACCAAGAATAGGCAATTACACAGTCCCCACAGTGGGAGTTTCATTCCCATTTATCTCTGTAAGGTTTTGCTACTTTCACTATTACTTTTAGTCAGGAAATGAGCATTAAATGAAATTTGAACTTGTTCTGTGTTTTGGCTTCATTAGCAGAGGTCACACATTTTACTTCACTGAAAATATGATTTTATATTTGAATTCTCTCTTTATTAATTATTGATGTAGGAATCATTTCCATGAATTAAATGCATTCTTGTTCATATTAGAATGTCTAAATAAGCTTAAACATTTTGTACAGTTTTATTTCAATGACCATTTGAATTATCAAGTCATTACTGATTTATCTAGCCACTATTGTAGAACTAATCTGATCTTTTTATGTCCATTTCAGTCTTTTATACAAGACTGAATAACTGGTCACAGTACATTCTTGCTAGTAGGTGTGCTGTTATGACAGTAGCAAGGATCAACTTCAATATTTACCTTTAACTTCAACTAAAGATAGTTTAAGTGCATGGAACAGCTGCGATCACTCAACACAACGCCAAATAGGGCGGGTCTCCTAATCTCAGGTCCACATTCTGACGCCGCCCACAGCCTCGCGGTGCATTGCTCGGTTTCCCAAGTTTATCCGGGAAGTGATGTCAATGTGACGGCAAGGGAAGAAATATTATCGTTATAACACTGCACTGAAATAGAGGATAATGTCAGTTACGACTTAAAACCGAGAGCATCGTCACCGTCAGTAAGATGAAATAACTATCATCTAACACTATTGTTTTACAGCAAAGATCAACAACATTACTCCTCACTCATCGGGTGTCTTGGGCGCCAAGTCTGAAGCCAGGTACGCGTTTTATAAGTACAGCCGTTTTATAAGTAAAGCCGTTTTATAAGTACTGCCGTTTTATAAGTACAGCCGTTTCATAAGTACCGCCGTTTTATAAGTACAGCCGTTTTTATAAGTACAGCCGTTTTATAAGTACCGCCGTTTTCACTGGTATTAGACAATACCATGTCAGGGACACCAGAGATGAGCTTCAGACAACGTACCTAAACAAAGAATGTGACCTGGGCGTGGGAGGGAACGCTTTAACCACTCGGCCACCTCACCGCCTGACCAAACCACCAAAGCCATGACACCAGATGAAAGGTGTGGATTCCAGGGTCTAAGAGATCAGTTCGGACATATGTACCCAAGTAGCGTCTGCCACATCTGGCCTACTAGTGTCATGTTGGGATGAACGTCGTTGTTTTCTGACGCTACACTCATGTCCCAGAAGTCCAGGTAATACACATAGTGTGGTGTCTCTGTACCTCCACGGTGTTCACTGTGTAGTGTTGTAGCAGGCCGTGCATCTTGTACCACTGTCTGTATTCACGTAGTGTGGTGTCTCTGTACCTCCACGGTGTTCACTGTGTAGTGTTGTAGTAGGCCGTGCATCTTGTACCACTGTCTGTATTCACGTAGTGTGGTGTCTCTGTACCTCCACGGTGTTCACTGTGTAGTGTTGTAGTAGGCCGTGCATCTTGTACCACTGTCTGTATTCACGTAGTGTGGTGTCTCT